AGATAGACACAAACCCAAAAGCAAATCAGCCTCTCAGACTAAGCAAACACGGTAGCAGCCATACACGCCCATGGCTCTTTCCATCTCAGGAGGCCATGACCGACGACGGAATAACCAAAAATACCAAAGAAAACGCAGATTCCAAACAAACCCAAATCGAAATGAACCCTAGAAATTGAAAATTTAAATTGGGGGAGCTCTGAAATTTTACCTAAATAGCAACTTAGGAGTTGCCGCAGCACCATTAATTCACAACTAAGCCGTAGCCATATACATTCCTCAACAATCTTTGAATTTTAATTAAAACTCAAAAAATATTAGTAAATGGTTAAAGATAAGTTATATAACCGCAGGCATATCCATTCCTCAGCAGTCTTTCAATTTTAATTAAAACGCAAAAAATAAAAATAAAAAACGGTTAATGATAAGTTACACACCTGATCCATAAAGCGTTTGCAAACTCCCACAACAAAACCCTAAAATTGGAAGATAAATGTTTCCTGCAACCAAAAATGAAATCAAACAAAAGATCCACACGCAAATCAGCAAAAAATGAAGAAAGCATTTAGCAAGAATTGAATTTTACAACAATCAATTAAAAAAAATTCTCAAGATGAAATGTTCCATTAGTCCTAATAATATTAGGTTATATATATGTAGCAATAAGATTACACAATACAATAGTTTTGTGTAGATCCAAATACATGTAGGTGCTTCTTTCATTCATCTTTTCAGACTTTTCCTTAATGGCAATTTTCATTAATTGTTTGAGCTCTACTGTACCGTTCTTTGATCGTTATCGTTATATCAGTTGCTTTCTGGTGTTCATGTAAGTAAACTCGTATGATATCCCATGCCAAAAATCGAAATTGTAATGTTATTGCTCCGGAAGGATGAAAAGCAAACAAATCACCAGCATATCATATAAATTGCAAATCTAGAATACAAACTATAGAAACAAAGCCAAATTGTTCAGTAAAAATTGATAGACTATACATAAATTACACCAAGACACACACAGAGATGCATAGAATTCTACAATTTTGCCCCAAATTAGACCAAAAGGAAGACAAACAGGGGAAAACCCACATACCTCCTACTACGAATGAGCCGTATGATTCCAGACCGAAATCCTGATCTCATTAGGGCTCAAAACCCGAAATTTTGGAGAGAGAATCAAGCAGCTGAAGAGCACTGCTGCAGTTCCATCAAGTAACACGACCAGTACAGCAAAGCAAGAGGGAAATATGGAGTCCTCGCCTTAGGCTCGTGTCCCGTTAACTACAGGCCCCCATACTTTTCTCTGACTGTCCCCCCTCTCCCACTCATGAAATCGAAGATCTGCAGCAATGGCGCTGAGATCCCCATTCCTCTCTCTTTCTCGCTTTGTCTCTCTCTATCGGAGGCATGGCCTCCCATCCCCGAAACCCTCACTGAATGACAGCATACCTAAACCCACCCCAATCTGTCTCAAACACACATGACAAAATTGCCCTTCCAACCCGGCCCCAATATCATTCCAAACCTGACGGCTTTGTTGTAAATAGCATGAAATCGAATGGCTCCCTGATAAACCATATGGACAAAATTACCCTCTAAAATTTTGAGAATTACCCTCCCAACCCATGCAATTTGGCCGGTATTTTTGTAAATAGAGTGAAATCGAGTGGCAAAGAATGAGGCCGCTATAGTGCCGCTCCCCCTTCAATTTTAGAATAGACTAGAAAATAAGCCCACGCGTTGCAGCGGGAACCACTGTTTCAGGTATAACTGTATGAATAAGACACATTTAACCTGAATAAATTCAACATAATCATGAATGAATAGAGGGACATATGAGTGAATGAGGTCGATAAGATAAGCAGCTTGGCTTTTATATACATTCAACTGAGCTAACATGTAAAGACATTGCATAATTAGTAGGAAGAAACTGAACATTCTTGATCACAAAGACATGGTTGCCAAAAAAGTTCTGTTTCCATAAGAAACAACAACTATATGTATAGGACCCGGAATATGTATCACATCATTCTCTAGTGCGTATCAAGAGCATTTTCTATTAAGCATGTTTACAAATTCTCTAGTATGTCCATCAAAAAGTAAATAAATTCTCTATTATATATGTTTTCAATAATCGTACTTGGTGGTGAAACAAACAATGTTTACTGACACATTCAGACTAAGGACAGATAATAATCCGCCAATGGAATTAGATCTATGCAATCAATTGAATATGTCAAGTAAAATAATATTTAGTTGAATCCAAACTATAGCATGCTAAATAAAGACGGAAAAGGATACAACAGTAGAAACTTCTGAGAAGAGACAAAAGAATTTATGTTTGAAAACTTCTAATAGGAAGAGAAAAGTTTAATGTACTCACAGCATCCTTCATTGTGGTACGCCATCCTTGCATAGACGATAAACCATAACTGACACATCCATTCTCACAATCTACGGAGAACTTTTCAGTTTTAGGAGTGCTCAGATTGTACCCATTCCAATTTGGAATTAAATAAGAACTCAATCAAAAACTTTAATCCTACAATTCAATGCTGAAAAACTAAAGTAGCCGGAAGCCAAAAGATCTAAGTGACAACTTGTACGGATGTTACAAAAATGCAGGATGCGAAACGCATTAAAACTTTTAGAAACTCGAAGGTTATAATTCTCCTCTCCTTATATTCTTCCCCTTTCTCTAACCAAATAAAAATTCCCAAAAATATGCACAAAAAATTCTTAAAAAAAAACAATACAAAATTAATGCAAGCAAAGAAAGAGAAATTGCTGCAAAGGGGAAATTAGAAAATTATACCACCATCAAACATTGCACGGAAGGCATCCGAAGAATCAAGCAGGAAAGTTATGTGAGCATAGAACCGTCTACCTGCAATTGGTCAATACACAATAAAAAATTTAAAGAGATCCTTTATGTTAACAATACAATCACCCATGCTAATTGAATATTCTGTAATGTCAGCTAATAAAGCATACATAGGAAAAGGTTAAAGGAATGATCTGTATCTATATTCTATAGTTCAGTCAAAGGAATGATCTTATTGTAGTGCCTAACTACGCTAATAATTCATAATCAAACAAAATTAAAGATGAAAAGTCTTGGTACTTGTAGGCAAAGGCTCAATCCACCAATCTCTTCCTGATCAAAGTATAGTAGCTGCAAAAAGAGGTGGTTCATGGTAAACCCCTGAGTGAGAAAGAAAATGTTTAATCAAAGAGACTTCAAACTCATAACCACATAAATAAAAATCTTATTATTATCATGGATGGACGTAATATCCTTTATTATGTTTTTAGACACAAATTATAAGACTATATTTCTAGTTTCATTTCACCTGTAATTTATAACCTGCCCCCTTCTAGTTTAAACTTTAAAGGATGCTTTTCTTTAATCCTGGTTCTTGACAATCAGTGAAGAGTAATAACACGTACAGACATTAAAGTTGAAACCTTTTCCAAGCAGATGCTACACATACAAAAAGATATTAAGCTTAAAGACCTTAATATCTAGTTTTGGATAATTGGCAAGTATCTGCTAACCTTCCCTTATATGCTACAAATTCTGACCTTAGCTTAGGAGCAATGGAATTTGATTTGAATTATTTAGAGTACAAAAATACGCGTAAACACATACGAAATTCTTTGAGCAGCACGATATTGCTCAATATATCATGGAGAATTAATCAGTCAAATAACCACAATAAAGGCAACAACAATAAAAACAAAAGCAAAAATTCCATGCTTAAAGTAGAAAAAGTTCACTTCTGTTGTAACGAATCGACATTAGAATCATATTCTTTGCTACACATTGTTGTATAACCATTTATGTGGTCTACAAATCAACTATTTTTAATCATATTTTTTGTTAACACATTGTTGTATAACCATTTGTGTGGCAGACAGAATCAACTACAGCAAGTAAAATTACAAACTTTCAGCAACCTGAGCAGAAATTAAGATGTTCAGATATCCCAAAACATACAACATACTGTATGGACCGTCTTTTCTTGACTTTCTCAATTTCTCTCACTACAACCTCATTGATCATTCAATGAATTCAGATTTCAGATATAAACAGAGGACGCCTTATTGACTCTAATTCTCACTATCCAACTCAACTAAGCTTAAATGCTACATTTTTGCTCAAATTAAATAAATTGTACTCCTCTCCCCCATTTTTCCGCGCAATTCACGACCTAAACAATGCAGCAAAAAACCAAAAGAAGGGATAAAAGATTGTTACCTATGGTTAAATTTATTTACAATGAAAAATGTTTTGGCTTTTTGAAAGAAGTTTTACATGAAAAGTAAAAAATTGGTGAATCAAGCTCTTGGAGCCCTTTGAACCACTTTATGAGCCTAATTGGTACAATTGAAAATGAAGAGTGTAATCAAGCTTCATGAGCCTAATTGAAACAAATTAAGGATCAGATTGAAAATGCATTAAAAGCTGAGAATATGCTTTATAAAGGCACACCTCAACAGTCTCAAGAATTTTGTTCCAAATATAGTCTATCTTTCATTTTCAAAATGAAACATCTTCATGTACCAAGTAAATGATAACATAAAGTATGATTTTCAATCGACAGAATTTTGTAATCGAACCCATATATACATATATATATATATATATATATATATGCACGTAGAAAAATCAACTATTTCCCTAGTACTAACAAAATTAATAGTGTATATATGTAATATATATATATATATATATATATATATATATATAACTACACTTTTGGATTTGGAGGAGGAAGCAACCATACCCTGAATATATCCAAGGCTAATAAAAGCCTTGACTTGTTTGTCAGTCAGTTCTTTGCTCAAATTTCTCTCATTATATGTATTTGAACCTGGACCCATGCACTTGTACTCTTCGCAGGCCACGTTGCTGCAATTTCAAATTATATTATTGACTCTCAAAACTAATTATATGAAAATGTTTAATCATGTTTTAATTGACATAGGCTGCTTACTTGTTACATTCAGGGTGCTTATCATCGCTCCAGCCAGCAGGGTTAACCACCTTGGTCATGCTAGTGTAGGCATACATCATCTGGGGTCTGCCTCACCAAGCCCTGTCTAAATATGTGCCACTGCCTGCCCCATTAATTATATGTAACATTGTTAGTCACCAAGCATCAAAAGTTCAAAACCATGACTTGTAGACAAACAAAAAGATTAACTACACATATCTTAGTTAATCCACCCAAACTATGTTTTGAGAGGGGTAAGGGGAACAATCATGTGGAATTTACAGTTTATACGGTGAGACTCGCATAATCCACTCAATCATTGTCATTCCTATACATTCTTCATAAATTATATGAAAATTATGGGGAAAACAAATAACAGGCATACATCTATGTACGTATGGCTTAACACCTGAGTGTAAATAGACTAAATATAAACATTTAGAAAATGAACAAACTTGTTCGCGAAACATAGTCGAATCATCGAGCTTCCCGAAATACTTGTTTCGAGGGACACAGAGATCGTCTTCTCATCTTCCATGCAAACCTGCTCCAAAAACCACTATAATCAATACCAATGAAAATTTCAAGGACCAACAAAGAATGTTGGAATTTCTTGAACCAAAAACGATTTATAAATTTTCTTGAACCAAAAACAACTAATATTGATCTTAATAGAAATTCAGAACTTTGACCAGATTATAGGATTTTGAAAAATAGTCAATACCATATGAAACGAAATTCCACATTTCTCAAAAAATTATGAAAACAATCTTGTTTGAGTTCCATGAATATTCCTAGTATCCAAATAGCATGTAAATTTTCCTAGCATCCAAATAATTGGTTAAAAGATCAAAGTCCAAACAAACAATTAAAACCAAATCCTCAAATGTTTGGTTGGAATGAAGAGATTCAGGGGGGATTGAAATTTGAAAAGAAAATTTTACATCCGATCCATCCATTAGAACCCCTGGCATGAAAATAAATCCCACACCTACTCAAAAGACAAAGCAGAAAATTACTCAATTTCAAAATCCAAATCAGAAAATAAAACCTCACCGTTTCTCTCGCTCACCTCTTTGTCCCACATATCTTCTCCTCATATTATGATAAAAGACCTCTCTTCAAGTCTGGCCTCAGATAGTTGGTCCATCTAAGGCTACAACTTTTCTAGACCTTAATAATCCTGCAATTCAGACCAACCCATTATAACCATAATCAGTGAATAGTTTACATTAAAACATATGAAATTACAGCCCATTTGATAGAAGATTAAGGGGGGTGTAGTCAAACTTGGATTTGAGAGGATTTTAAGACTTTAAAATCCTAGTATAGTCAATTAAAAGATTTTAAAGGATTTTAGAATCCATTAAAATCTAGGTGTAGTCAATTAAAAGATTTTAAAGGATTTTAGAATCCATCCAAATCTACGTGTATTCAAAAAATTAAGATTTTAAAGGATTTTAAAAAGTTGTGGATTTTGTGGGATTTGAAAGCAAAAACTATATATAACCAAAACTAAAAAGAATCCAACCTCACCCCCTAGGATTTCAAATCCTTCCCCCCACAATCCACCACAATTCATTCAAATTCTTTAAAATCCATATGAATTTTGTAGGACTCTCTTTTAAAATCCTTTAAAATCTTAGTTTGACGACACCCCCCTAAGATTTCATTGTTTTAACAGAAACATCAAAAAATGAACATTTCACAGCGAAAAACTAATTTCTCATTATTTAAAACTTAGTCATCAAATTTCATAAATAAATTTATAAAAAAAAAAAAACCAAAAAAATGCAAAATATGGGAACCTTTGGGCGAGCAAGTAGAAGACATCGCCCTCTTTGGAATTGGCTTCAGCAGCCAAAGCAATTTAGGATCCTTCTGTAGACTAAAGTAATATTTGCGTACAAACGATTGGGATCATCAAATATGATACTATTCCTCTCTCTCTCTCTCTAAACTCTTTGTTAAAACCCAATTATCTCATGGTCAGATTTTTGCTTACTTGCAAAGATGTCTTTAACTTCCTCTAATTATTCACATTGTCTCATACTTACTCTCTGATATCTACTTAATCAGAAAGCTATGACAATAATACAACACACATTCTTTGGAATTTCGATATGGATATAAATGCGGACTATTTTAATTTTTCAGTTAATCTTTTTTCGTAAGAACTCAAAACACACAGATTTGGTCTCATCGAAACGTAATGGGGATATTAATTTTTCAGTGATGTTTCAAGTGTGATTACAAATCCCACATACAATTGTCTTCACGACCGTGGGGTGTACCTAATAAATCATGGTATTAATTTCATAAAATAACACATATATACCCGGCCCCATAAGGGTCAATAGGTCTCAGTTGCATATGAGGGGTGAAAGATAATATATGCATAAGGCAACTGAAACACGTTCAATTATTATTTTTGTGATATACTGCCAATGGATTGCCAACCAACATATTTTACATATAATATTTTGATAACATCGCACGGGCATTGCCTAGAAATAGCATACATAATTCAAGGTTATATGAAAACCTATGCCATAATGAATTGAGCAGGAAAATAAGCACTTCCTCATATGAGACATTATTAAACTGGAATTATACTAATAAACCAGGAAATAGATAGACATTATGGAGAGCAGATAAATGAACTCACCGCCCCAACAAAAGCTTACAACACCAATTGCAGAAACACCTTTACTTCTTAAAGCTTCAATTACCAGTTTTGCATCTTCAATTTCTTTTGGCTTGTCGATATGAAAACATGAGGATTTGGAGGAAAGAAAAGTTCAACAATTAATCATTCAAATTAGGGGAAAACAATTACAATGTAAAATTAACCCAAAAACTTATAAACAAACATCAGAGAGTCAGAGCTCATTCATGTGAAAGTATTAGAGAGTCAGAGCTCAACATTTAACCCATTGTGAGTGCAGCCTTACAATTAATTTTAGGGAACTTTAACGAAAAGCACCCGGTACTGTTCACTTTAATGAAAAACCACATTTTTACACTAAAAAGTCAATCTTGGTACTATTCACTTTACCCTTTATTTTGTCCTTATCATTAAAACTCAAAATTTTCAAGCCATTTTCATTAGTTTTCCTTTAATTTTAAGGGAATGAAATATGCTAATTCATGTGAAAGAATTAGACAGTCATTGCCCGCAATTTTCTTCATACTCTGCCCCTCTATCAAGGTTAGTAGGTCAGAGGTTCATTTGAAATCTCAAATTGATCCAAGAACTTAAACTCCAGAAAACCCAATTCGATGAACAAATTCCCAATTCGTCAACCATTGGAAGTTAATAGTACAGGCCTTGATGTCAGGCATAACATGATTACCGAGTATGATTACTGTGCTAATCCCTTATGTTCAGATCATGATATTAATAGTACAGTCTAAGATACATATGGGATTATGTGCTAACACCACCTATCTAATATGGTAATGCTTTGAATATAATGACATGAAGAAAGAATGGTAATTAAGCATGATGAGATTACCATTAGCATAATGTGTCCAAAAGATGGGATTACATTAATGACACCATTAGCATAATGTGTCCAAATTCAGAATACTCACCCTCACGTCGTCAATATGTTTTGTAAATGTTAACACCACCTATCTCATATCCAATATAAATGCCTGGCAGTAGCAAAGCAATCGTCTAGCATCTAACAAATTTAAGAATGGATAGAAAAATACCTAAGCAGTGATCTCTTTTGTGCCTGCCTAGACTACACTTGCAAGCCAACTGAGCCGCCGATGCAGCAACCAAAGATAATTTTCCAAAACCCGATCCAAATTAAATAAACGGAAAACCAAATACAGACAGATAATGTATATCAATATCAACCATCTTCATCTACAATCACGAATCAAGAATATACATAATAACAAAAACAATGCAACCTGAGATTAAATTCGTAGCATATTGCCAATTAGAATTGAAAGGCAAAAATATCATTCCACATATTTCCACCGTGCGACAAATTCACTACTAAATAGCAAAAAATTCAAACTTCAGCTCTAAAGTTGTCTTTTTGATTCCGCGAGGTTCAAAATAAATCCTCAGCAAAGAAGATGACAGAGGAACAGTACTACACTGTTTATGAAACTTAACTGGGCACACATGTTTATATTTTATGTTTTTTTTCTTTTTGTTCTTATCGTTAAATAAAGTTATTAGATGGTTTTTTTTATTAAAATGCAAAGTTTTGAAGCCCTTTCCATTAAAATGAAAATTATTTGTTGCTGGTAAGGTGCGTGACTATGATTTCCTATGACCTAAACTAACAACATGTCAAATGTTTGGATACAGAGACAAACATAATTCCAAGTAGTGAGATAAAACAATTAGTGTCTTAAACTGCTCATCCATTTGTTAATAAAGAATTAGAGTAAACAACAGAGGGAATTAGCTGAATAACCTTCGTTGGCCAACATTGAAAAACATTCAACATCCAAAAATATCTCAAATTTTGATAACGAAATTTGTCGAGATGATAAAAGAGAGAACCAGAAACTAATGAGACATGAATAAACACGCAACTTGAAAACCATACTACAATTCTGGCTCACACACACAGAGTGCACAACCTATTTGAAACCCCGGTCACCCAAGTGAAAGAAAATATAGAAATTGTAACCGAGCATGTAATAAACTGAAAGAGGAAAGCAAATGAGAGAACTATACCACTCTTTCTGGAATTAAGCAGAGACAAAGGCTGAAATCAGGAGACAGCATTGCCTTCAGTGCCTGCACATCAATACAACACTCATAAACATTTAACACACTTCTTATTTACAACTAAAAGAAATGTTCCAAAGCATCAAGATTCAGTACAGACCTTAACCAAGATGAGAGAAACAATTTAACACACTTCTTAAACATTTAACACACTTCTTATTTGCAACTAAAAGAAATGTTCCAAAGCAACAAGATTCAGTACAGACCTTATCCAAGATGCGAGAAACAATTTGGGTGCTCTCCCCAGCCAACTTTCCAGCGTCCATGTGGTCAACTGACCAACTTTGACCCACCGTCGATCCGCCCCTGTGTAGGGGTATGTCTTATGTTCAATATATTGCAAAAGGGGAAGATTCCATTGCAGAACTCCCTAAAATCAAACTAAAACATGCAATTGTACCTAAAAGGGGAAAACAGCTAGGAAAAGACATAAAATTTCACTATGTAGTTTGGATATTGAGTAGGCATAGAGCCTGAGTTTGTTTCCACTAACAAATCCCTGAACAAAAAAGTGAGTAAAAAATTTGTAAGTAGCATGTATGGATGCACATCAATTTTCTTGATGATTAGGAATTAGTTGTGGAATAACAGATTAGAGACAAAGCTAGAATGAGTACAAATAACCAACTTGTTTCCTCGATGATGAGTCTGTCAAGCTAACTAAAAGATTAGTAGCCACGTTAGTAGGTATAAACCGTCTTTCCTTCCCTGGATAAGTACACAAAAAGATAGAAATTTAAAACTTGGGCTCAGGAAATGGTTAAACTGTCATTTGGGAAATTATTACCAATTTAATGCACGTTATACCAAAAATAAATCACAAAAGTATAACCTGCTGAAGTTTGATCAGTCCCAAATCTGCAAGATCCTTAACCATATTTTTTTGCCTTTCATTCAATGTAATTTATGTTATATGCCTAACACACAAAAAAGAGAACAGAATCAAGAGGTGAGAGATTAATTCCAGGTAGAAACTTTCCATATGGAAGAAAACACTTTTCTACAAAAGAAATAAAAAAGTGAATACTATGAAAAGTTCTTATGGCAACATTTACTGCAGCACTATTCATATTTTAGTCGGAAATAACAATAAGCCAAAAAAAATATGGGGGAATTCAATAAAGCATATGCTACTGCAAGAGAATAGTCATGTATAAAGAGCATATAACTAATACCTCGCCATTAACATGAAAACTAAGTTCCACCAGGAATGAAATCAAATCTGCAGAATGTAATCCACGCTCCTGCACCAAAAAGGAGAGGTGAGGAGAGACCAACATAGCTGTCGTGAAGGAAAAAAAACACAAAATATCATAACAACATCAAAAGTTACAGACTTGCAGAATCCCAAATTACACTTTCCCAAATTCATCAAGACAATTTCTTAACTGATGTAACTTTTCTAGTTTTCGTAAAAATGTTAACTTGGGTAAAATCATATTCCACAAAATTAGAAATTGGGGAGTGAAATTAAACACCAAAACTTCACAAGGGAGACTTACCATTATATATGCAGGCATTGAAATCAAAACCTTCTTCCACCATGGAAGTCAAATGTGATGTTTGAACTGAAAAGCTATAAGTTGGCATCCCCATCTTCAATACATCCCCTGGGAACAGTACGAAGTTGTATCTGCACCAAAATCAGCAAACACACATCATCAAATCACATTCTATAGATACATACATATAAATTTATATGTGTATGTATAGGCATAGTGAGAATGTATGGAAGGTTAAGGGCTAAGCTTGGAGGCTCTGAGAGTGAAAGAGCAGGCGGCAAACTGGAGAAGGTAGAACCGCTCGGCGGTGTAGTTAGCCTTGCAATACGACTTGTCGGCGGTGTCGAAGCGAGATGGGCACGAAGTCGGAAGTGGACACGTGGTTCTTGAACTCCTCCAGGAACTCGGGAAAATTGGACTTCGTCACTTCCTTCACGGCCCATTTCTTTGAGACTTTGGTGGTGGTGGTGCTGAGAAAATTGCGCCGTATTAGTGGAGGCAGAGATGCACTCCGTGTCCTGAACTTGTACGGACACTTGCCTGAACCTCCGCCTGAACTCGCTCACCTTCATAATCTTCGTCATGGTCGTCGCCGAAGCCGACGAACTTCACTCTCAGTCGATCACAGCTGTCCTTCACTATCAGGACGTCGTACCAGGCGTCGCCCAAGCCAGACCTGAACTCGACCGCCATCCCAACTCCCACCCACTCCCCCTCTCTCTGTACTTCTGCAATCCCTAGTCATAGGGCCTTAGCCATTTCGGCTGGTATATGTGACGAATCTGGAGACGGAGCATGGAGCTGCAAGCTGTCAAGGAGTTCGCCTAACCCTAAAATCGCTCTCTCCCTCTCTCTCTCTCTCTCTCTTTCTTTTCCCAAATCGAGCATCACCACTTAATCCCCTCTATTTCTCTCCCTCGAATCGTACACGCCCTGTGACTCTATCTGCCTGCAAGCTGCATGCCTTCCTCTCACCAAATCCCTATCTCTCTCTCCTTCCCTCCCTCTCTTCTCTCTCTGCTCGCTCACTCACTCTCTCTCCCTCGACAGCATGGTGTCACCGAGTACCACTGCAGTTTTAGAAAGGAAATGAAAGTCTCGAACCCACGCACTCCGTTCGAAACCCTAGACTAAAATGACCATCGCACCCCTGCCTTTCCACGATCATCAACACGCGGCATGAAGATCAGCGGCGGAGAGAGTCAATGGCATCCTCGTAAATAAAGTGAAATTCGGCTCCAAAAACTGTTCATTGGTACAGTGCAATGGAAAAGCCTTCTTTAGACTAAAGTAATAATGTGTCCATACAGACGTGTGCGAAACAAATTCAAACATCTGCTAGTGAAAATCTGAACTACAAAAATTTTGTGTTACAATTTGTTTCCTCGGATCCTGGGCCCCTGGCTTCTCTGCAGTCCTGCAGTCACAGATTATTCGAGCATGAAATCAATTTCTGCATATCACAGGAAGACACGCCAAAACACTCCCTCTTCATCTCAAAAGGGTAAAAGTCCAATGTCCCCAAATGCATATGATTCATGGTCCAACGCGTCAGATGGGAGCAAATAAATCGATAATCCCAAATTCGGTGGCCAGTATTCCGTCAACCTTAACGTCCTTCAGTAATCTAGGTCTCCAATCAAGCCAGGAACATATTCATGTGGTAGAACTCCAAAGTTCTCCATTTCCAGCAAAGACTTCCAGATCATAAATTCCAACATCCTCGTTGATGGGGGTGTTCAGGTTAAACCTCGGATTTGGATTCATGGGTGCATCCATCGGAAAATATGGGATTACCTGCTCAGAAATGAAGTTACGCATCTCACCATGCTCTACTGAACTTGTTCTAATCTTCGATTTGGAAGGTCTAAATGAATCAGACAAGACAGGTTTGTGCTTTCCAGTTGTCGGTAATTACTTTGACATTGATCGAGACCTGATATCATTCGTTGGGAATACTGATGAGCAGTGGCGAAGCCACATGAGGGCGAGGAGTGGCGGCCGCCACTCCCCTCGCCGAAAAAACAAGGCTTGAGGGCTGGCCAGCCCCTCCCCTCATGCTGCTGCTGCTCTTCGTCTCCTGCAGCGCCGGTGCTGCAGTTCTGCTCTGTTGATTTTTTTTTCAAAACACCCAGATGCCGTTTCGTATAAATAGGGAAAGAAACGGTGCCGTTTCGTATAAGTGGGGGAAAAGAAACTAGTTAAAAATTTTGAAAAAAGTGGAACGAAACGGTGCCGTTTCGTATAAGTGGGGGAAAAGAAACTAATTAAAAATTTTGAAAAAAGTGGACCGAAACGGTGCCGTTTCGTATAAGTGGGGAAAATAAAAAATATATATATAGAGGGGACCATTGTCTCCAAAGCTCACTACTGTCTCCAAACCCACCGGCTGCTGGTCCTGTTTCAAGCCATTGAACGCTCCACTATGCTCAGTGCACGGTGGTATTTGCAGTGTGACTTCCATATTCTGTCATTTGGAAGCAAAAGCTTTGCCTGACTTGGTGAGGCTGTTATCGGGAGAATTGTATGAAACTGACATTGGTTTTCAAAGCCACTCCTCAAAGCGGAGCCATCGTCTTGCATGAGGCTGATGCCATAAAGCCGATGTTGGAGATCTTGTCTTGGGGAACAGATTCTCTACAAGAAGATGCATTGAGTCTCCTCGAAAAGGTTTCATGTCGAAGGAAATGGTTGATGTGTATGGATCAGCAGCTAGATTAAATCTTGTTGGTCTAACTAGAACGAACATCCATGAGGATGGTCGCCATTGTCACTCCTTGAACGTTATTCGAAATCATCAACTTCTTTTACTCCGGGACTGATGTAAGGCTAACAAGTTTTGGTTATCAGATCAGAAGAACAAATGTACTTCAACTATGTGAATATACAATGATTGAGTTGGAAAATTTAGTGTAGCAATAGTCACTAGCAAAGATATTTATCATACTATTCAGTGATTAGATTTTCTCTTGGATTTGACCTTTTTTTTATAATTGTTTTACTCTCATCAAACTTAAGACCTCTCACTTAGACCGTGGTACTAAGACCTAGTTTGGGAGTGAGGTGCTTAAAAAAAGCACACATGAAAAAAAGCTGTGAGGGTTTTAGGTGTTTGGTAAACTGAAAAAAAAAGGGCTTATTTTTGAAGCTGTTGTGAGAATAAGCTGAAATCAAAGGAAAAAGCTGAAGCTGCTATTTGTAGCTTTGGAAAACTGGCTTTTTTTCAAAGCACTCGAAGCTACAGTGCTTCTTTAATGAAAAGACCCACTATTAGACTACTTTTTTTTCCAAAAGCACTTTTACAAAAAAGTTTACCAAACACTCTGCTGATTTATTTCACAGCCGCTTATTCTCACAGCACAACCGCTTATTCTCACAGCAGCTTTTTTTCAAAGCACATCAATACCAAACCAGCCCTAAGTCTAAGTGGCTTTTTAATCTTGTTTTGGATGAGTAAAATTTTTGGACAACGTCGAAGTTTTAGCTTTCTGCAAAAGATCTCCAACTTCCGTAAATTATTCTTAGGTTAGGCTAGCCAACCGAAAATAATCTTATCAAGCATGGAGCTAGTATGTCCAAGTTACAGGGACAAGGCTATGATTGAGCTAATAATATGAAAGGTGAGCTAAATGGCCTTAAAACAAAGATTTTGAACAAGTATCCTTAAGCATTTTATGTTCATTGTTTTGCACACCAACTTCAACTAGCTCTTATAACCGTTGCAAAGGGAATTGAGGGTGTCGCCATTTTGTGCTATGAAAAGAGCTTTTTCTGCTATGAAGATTGTGAAAATACCATTGCATAACAAAATGGAAGATCAATGGTTGAATGATAGCATATTTGTTTACATTGAGAGATATGTATTTGCTTTTATTGATAATGAGCCTATTATGCGACGTTTTCATGACATGAAACCTCGCCGGCAACAATTGTAATTTGTTTATATTGATTAATTATGAAAGACATTACTATATAAAAAGATTTAGCTGTTACCATTTTTCTTTAACCTTGCACTCTTTTAAGTTCGCCCCTCCCCTGATATTTTCTGGCTTCGCCACTGCTGATGAGGCCCACCCCATGGAATCTTCATTGCAAGTTCTTGTTGCGGCCCTGAAAGGAGACATGACTCTTGTTAGCAACCTACCAAAACCCACGACTCCCCACACTCAAGTCTCCCTTTTAAGAAACCCAGTCAATATGCTGATACTCACGTAGAGGCCACTGCTTGAATGCCAAGGATGCGATCAAACTGCGGTGATGGATGGGCGGCAATTAACTCCATGTCTGCTGTCTAAATGGATGAGCAAGTTGCTTTTATTTTTATCTCATTCACGGTTGTGAAAATGAAGAGTAGAAAGCGAGAGCGACGTTGGGCTGTTAAGCCGTCCTGGGAGAAAAGGGTGCTGGATATTGCATTTGACTCATTTGCCCTCAGTCAATTTGATTACTTGTTCTTGCGTTTTATTAAGCAGGGGTAATGTAGGAGTTTTACAAAAATAAAGGATAGGCTCTTATTTTCTGCCCTGATCGTTTTATATACACAGTAACATAGATCAAGGAATTGCGTGTCAACTTGAACTTTATTTATCTTTTTAGATAATTTGCTCAAATTTTCCAACAAGGATACTGAAATAAGAAATTTGGCAATATTTGGGAAGTGAGAAATTACATCAGGCTGTAGTCAGCTAAAATTTGTTGAAAAAGTGGAATGCTGAAATAAGAAGAAAAAGGCAGAGGAAAGAGATGCAAGTTCTTTGAACAAGATGCTTACAGAAAGACCAACTTGAAAAGCAATATTATTACTCTAATGTGCATTAAAGAGTAAGGGAAAGATTTGAATCTGGATATAGTGAGTTGAAAATGACTAATTTATCCACTAAGGCAATCTACCACTAGCAAAACTAAAATTCTTTAATTTCCAAACATAATAATTATTTTTTCATTACAAAGCTTATGTTATGATTAACTATTTGTGATACATGCCATTTACAAAGACCTAAGTCAATAAGTCGTGATTAGTGCTAATGAAACATGGTTAACAAGCCTTATTGAGTCCTATCACTTTCAGAAACCCACCAACCCACCAAGGACTTTGATGTCAAAACTAGGGGTGGAATTTTTTCCCGAAAATCCCGACCCATCCCGAACCCGACCCAAAATTTGATCGAAAAAGTCCCGAACTGAATTTCCCGAAACATTCGGTACCCGAAACCGAACCCGTCTCAAAAGTTTCGGTTTGGGATTCGGCCACAGCTTTGAAAGCTTTCGGTAATCCCGAACCGAACCGAATATTATATATATATATATATTTATTTATTTTAAATTTTTAATTAGAAATTACTTGAACCGTTGGATTTGTTAAGATCTAATCCAACCGTCCATTAGTTAGGTCATTTGTTAGAGCAACTCCACCCATGAAGCCTTCCCCCTGGCAATCCACTATTGAATCCACCCTTTTGAACAGTAACTGCCTTAAATGAATAGTAACTGCCATTAATGAACAGTAATTGCCATTTGCATCTCCACCCTTGGAGCCCTCCCCCAGGCAATAAGCAATTAAAATAATAGTTTTTTTTGTTTGTTTAAATAATAAAAAATTACAAAAGCTCTCTCTCTCTCTCTCTCTCTCTCTGACACAAAAAAAATAAAAAATTGCAAAGCCCTCGGGCCACAGGCCCGTCGACTCCCCACCCCACCTTCGCTCGGGCTCCCACCGTCGCTCGGCCTCCACACGGCTGGACCTCTCTCCACCGGCCCTCGGGCCCTTTGTCCTCGCCTGTCGCCCGAGCAACCAGCCTCCACTGGAGTTGCTCTTAGGTAACCTCTCAGACTCTCTCAGACTCAGCCGCTCTCGCTCTCTCAGTCTCACAACTCTCACCTCACTCACACTTTCACAGTCTCACTCTCACTCACTCACAGACTCACAGACTCACAGTCCCGCCGCTCCACTCCTCCGTCGAATCGACGCCGCTCCTCGTTGTCCATTGACTCACGCCGCTTCTCCATCGACTGACGCAGACGCAGACGCATGAAGGAATCCGACACCAATCGAGTAATAAGTAAGATTTCAGTATTTTCACACTCAAAAATTCAAGAATATCAATCCAAGTGTAATGTTGAACAATGAATCACAATATTAGGTTCAAAAGACACAGGCCTGTACCTGGGGAGTACATGCTGGTTGTGGATTTTGATGTCTGCCTGAATATCCTTTTGTATATTCATACACAAATTCTTCATTTTCAGATATGCTGTCGAGAACTCGAGATGGATATGGGGTCCATAAGGAAGCCTTCAGAGTTACTTGACACAAACTCATCAGTGTCTAGAGCATGCTTCCGGCACCTCTTTTTGGCTGCTGTCTGTTAAGAAATACATTTGGTTTTAAATTCTATTTTCCTGAGTAAGTTCCAATAAAAACAAAGTGCAAAACAAACCCAAGAAGTCGTTGATTTAGGTCGTATGTTGAGTTGTTAAAGAGGAAAATTACATCTAGACACTGCCTCTAGGGAAAAAAAAAATAGCAGCTAAAATATTCGCAGGTGTATTCTAATATGCATAACTGGGCATGTGCCCAAGTGTTTCATAATTTTCATAAGCTCTCTAATTTAGTGACAATAATGAACCAGCACTTGAAATCTGCATGGTGGAACCAAATACACTCGTGTTAGGTCATCAATATTTGAGGATGGGAAAACTAGAGACTTCCAACTTCATCTGAAACATTCATATATTTAACAAGTCCTTTCATGGAAACATGAGGAGATAATTATTGACATTTTTCAGGGAGGTTCTAACAAGAGCTCAATAACAAGTCCTCTTCCCGAAAGTGCTTTTAAAACAGCTATCACTATCAGAGATAACTAGGCTACTAGCAGGGAGGTTCTAACAAGAGCTCAATAACAAACAGGTAAGTAACATCATTTACATCTTTTAGCTCTTTTTTTTAAATTTATTCGAAACTAGTTTCTTGTCAATATATGGGATAATGTGATATATATGTGCACTCTGTCAATATATGTAATGTGATATATATGTGCACTCTGTCAATATATGTAATGTGATATATATGTGCACTTTGTCAATGTAATGTGATATATATATAATGAGATATATGAATATTATATATATGCTGAACTGTGTTGTGATATATTATTGTGCATTGTCAGGATGGACGAGTCTGGTAGTGGTAGTGGTAGCCAATCACAATCTACTAGTACACCTAGGATCTCAGTTTTAGTAAAACGAAAGCCACAATACATTCGAACTCAAGAATACTATGAAGATTATTGTGATGATGATCCGGATATGGATGCTGATATAGGGTTAGAAGAAATAAATGAAGAAATAGAGGAATAAGAAGGTGAGGAGGATAGTGTTGATTTGGACAAGCGGCAGATGCCTTCGGTGGCCACATTAGCAAGTAGGGTGTGTCAATGGAAAAAAAGTAATAGGACTAAGGGGCCAAGTCCGGCTTGGAATGATGCCACTAAGGTAAATGTAACCGATGAATTTGGAATTACAACGGTTATGGTGGAGTGCAATCATTGCAAAGTGCAAGAGTCAGCGGAGTCCTCTAGACATGGGACGAATTCTTAATCATTTGAAGAAATGCCCGGATTCTAGTCTTTACGAGGCTCCGGATTCGAAACAACCATTGTTGTCACAGGTGATGGGGGGTCAAGTTGTCTCTTACACTTTCAATCAAAAAAGACTTGATATGAAATGTGTGAAGTGGATAATAAAAGCGTAGATGCCTTTTAGGGCGGTTGATCAAGAGGACTTTAGAGATTGGATCCATGACTTGAATCCAAAGTACAAGCTTCCAAATAGGCACAAGGTGGCGGCGACGGTTTTAGAATTGTATTATACAGAGAAGGAAAAAATCAAGAGGGTGGTTGATGGTTTGAGGGTGAGTATCACTACCGATACTTGGACCTCAATCCAAAATATTAATTACATGGTGGTGACGGCACATTTTTTGGATAATGATTGGGCTTTGCATAAGAGGTTCTTAAATTTTGTTCAAATTACTTCTCACAAGGGTGATGATATTGGCAAATGTCTAGAGGTATGCTTGAATAATTAGGGCATAGACAAGGTATTTAGCATTACCGTTGACAATGCTAGTGCCAATGACACCGCCATTGCACACATGAAGAGAAGGCTTAAGTCCAATGGTGCTCTTTTACTTGAAGGGGCTCACTTGCACATGAGGTGTGCTTGTCACATCCTCAATTTGATAGTTAAAGATGGAATGACGGAGCTTAGTCGTGAGATTGAAGGGATAAGGAATTGTGTCAAGTTCATACATTCATCCCCCACGAGGTTGGAGACTTTTAGGGAGTATTGTGTCTTGATGAGATTTGATAAGATGTCGAATATTCCTTTTGATGTTGTCACAAGGTGGAATGCCACCTATGACATGCTCAATAGTGCCTTCAAATTTAAGCAAGTGTTCTCAAGGATGGCGGATGAGTGCAACACTTTCATCTCTTACTTTCAAGAGGAAGTATCTAAAGAGATTAATGAGGTCACAACCAAGGTGAAACAGGTGGGTCCTCCGGTGGTGGAAGATTGGGAGAGGGCGATGAGTTTTGCTCACTTTTTAAAAAAGTTTTATGATTCCACCTTGACACTTAGTGCAACCCTAACTCCAACTTCAAACTTAATACTCGGCATGGTGATTGCATTGCAAGTGGAGATAGAAGAAAAGATTTGCAATTCCTCTAATGCCACTTTGCAAAGTGTGGCAACTTCCATGAAGCTTAAGTTTGACAAGTATTGGGGGGACATTGAAAAGGTTAACCCTATACTCTTTATAGCGCAAGCACTCGACCCAAGGTACAAGTTTGAATTGTTGGAGGCAAGCCTCAAGGAACTCTGCTATTCATGTGAGGCAATCTTGGATGTGAAGACAAGTATTAAAAAAAACTTGACAGATTTGTTTAAGGTGTATAAGGAGGGAGATGTTTCTAGTAGTAGTAGTGTTACCGTGGATCAAAGGCCAAGTGTTGTGGAAGATGATTCTTCGGGGTTGGAAGATGATGTTGCTACAAGATCGCAAAGGAAGATCCAACAAAAAAGAGCGGCGGCCCAACAAAACGAGATATCCAATGAAGTGGATATGTATTTCAATGATCCTCACCAAAGCTTAACATATGAGGGTTTCAATATTTTGGATTGGTGGAAAGTCAATTCTAGAATATATCCAACTCTTAGTAAGGTTGCTAAGGACATTTTTGCTCTTCCCAGTAGCACCTTTGCTAGTGAGAATGCTTTTAGTCTTGGTGGGAGAGTTGTAGATCCTTTTAGAGCTTCCCTAACACCGAGACAGTTGAGGCTTTGGTGTGTACAAGTGATTGGCTAAGGGGGAATGAAATGTCTTTCTACAAGGAGCCTACAATTGACGATCTTATGTTCTACAAGGAACTTGAAGAGTTGGAGAAGGGTAAGTGAAGTATTTGATTTCATGTTTTCATTTTCTTAGTTTTATAATTGATGCATTCACTTTCTAATTATATTTTTTGTTTTATTGTTTTTATCGTTTTAGAGTTGCCTAATATGGGAGGTGAGGAGAATCCCACACAAAGTGAAATGCCACCTCCTCCACCACTTCAAGTTCAACGCCGCCCATCATTACCTCCGCGACCACCCATTTCAAGAGCATCTAATCCAACACAAAGGAGGGTTCAATTATCAACAAGAGGAAGGGGTCCACCACCACCATCAACACCAACGCCAACGGGTCATTCATCAACAAGGGGAAGGGGCCGAAGGGGCTAAAGGAAATGAACTATGTTTATAAACTATGTTTTGGTTGCATGCACTTTCTTGCTTATAAACTATGTTTTGCTTTTGGTTTGTAACTTAATCTAAATTCATTTGGAAGTTTGGTTTGTAAAACTTAACTTATTTCATTTTGGTTGCATGCACTTTTAATTAACTAGTTTGGTAGACAGTTGTGAACTTAAGCCCAACATTTTGGGCTTAAAATTGTAAAAAGTTATAAAAGCCCAACATTTTGGGCTTCAAGGCCCAATCTCGAAGTTACCCGAAAATCCCGAAACACTTTCGGGAATCCCGAATTTTGGGAAATGAATAGTTTTAGTTCGGTTTCGGGATATAAAATCCCATCCCGAAATGTTTTGGTTTGGGAATTGGGTTCGGGATCTCGACCCGAACCAGCCCTAGTCAAAACAGTACACGGCCTTTCCTATTTTTTGGTTAAACGGCAAGCAAATGTCGTCCTAAGCGTCGTCATCCTTCTTGTTACAAGGCCACAGCGCAACCGCACACCACCCTTCTGCTCCTACTGGTGAGGTAACATCACTATTTAATCTGGAGGAATTTGATTTGTGATGTGGTTATTAATCTGCTTTTCAATTTATTTACCATTAAAATGTGTATGTTGCTTAGATTTATGTTGGTTTCGTTACGAAAACTAATTTGTTCTGCTAAGCAGTAATGGCCTATTAAATTGGGGACACATTTTTGTCAAATGAAACTATGCTTCCACAAAATTTGTCAAAAAACTTAGATTCAGATATCTATATTTGTTGTTTTATTCTATTGACAATTCGTTGTTTGATTGGTTTTGTTGCTTTCCTCCACTTTTTAACTCATTTGTTAATCTACCTATTTTATTTGGGTGATAAGTTCACTCTTTTAATCTGCTAAAGGAATATACAGAGTGTGGTTTTGTTTATGGCGGTGGATGATTTGGATGAAAGTATGTATCTTGGGGATTTTTTTGCTTGCAGTTGTTTAGGCCAACACTGAAGAAGTTTTGTGGAATGAGATTCTTATCAAATACTTATACCAAATTGTTTCTCCGTTTATGGCAGGTAATAAACGTGGTCCAACCAATAGCTGATAAAATGTCATTGTATATATGCTTTTGTCGATTTCTGCTACGATAATGAGGGAATCCAGAGGATCGAGGCCGGTCGATCTGAGGTTTGTACAAATCTATCCCTTTCTTTCTCTCTTTATGTGAATTTCTTGAAATTGACGACGCACGTTGTGATTCTTGCAGTGTTTGGGAGCGGAGAAATCTCTAGATTAGCTTTGATCACTTGAATTTTTTCTTATTTAGTTCAACACACATTTATGTTTACTTTTGTTAGTTTGTTGACAGTTTGGTATGTCTATCATATTGATGGAACTAAATTGTGAGTTAATTATGGTTTAGGTTGTTGAATTTTGAATTCGGAATTCCCTTTGGAAACTGTCACAAGCGATGTGTCTGTTGTGGCTACAGGAATCAAAAGCGAGTGAAAGGTAAAGGTTCTCTCCAAACATTCATCGCCAACAATTCCAACCAAAGCCAGGTATATCTCTCCTCTTGCTTTCTCTCTACGATGTTCTATCCCAATTTATCTCAGACAGTAAGGGTTTTGGTTTGCTTTCTTGGATTAGATTTGTATGTATTCCATTGCATTTCAGTTTTCTCTGATTTAATAGCATAATCTGGCTCTTGGCATTCTAACTTTGGTTTCTTTGCATCAAAATTGTACTTGGCTCTTGGTTTTCTTGATCTAATTTTTTTTATTTCTATAATTAGATAAATTAAGGAAAAGTTTTCTATTAGTATATGAGTATTCGATTCTGATATATCAATTCCCTCCATTTGACGTGATTTTGGATTATTAGGACTAATGCAAGGATATATTAGACTTTTAGTGTTCTCAAGCATTTGCGTGTATGCTTATTATAGATGATGTATTTCTATAGAAAAGTGCACTAATATTTGTTTTAAACAAATTAATTAGTTTTTCCTCACTGGGGTTTGGTAAGGCGCTTCTCGAGATGGCGTTGGAATGTGCAGGCAAGGATTCACGGGATGAGGAGGAAATGGCAAAGGAGGAGGACCAAAACGTGTTCTTTGTTAGGATAATTGGTGCCCTGAATGCCAGAAAGTCTGCACTCACCACTCATTAATTATATGGTTTGTTCCTTTGGTTTTTATGGTTTAAAGGTGTTTATTGTGATGGTGTTTTTGATAAATTGTTGAATATACTGTTAGTTTAGTTATTGATTGTATTGAGTTTGGTTTATGCATTTGGTATTAAGTAGTTTTTTCATCCCTGAACTCCTTTTCAGGTAGAGAAGCGTGAGTTCTTCTATGGTGTTTGAGTGAGTGTCAATCAGAGAGTATTTTGCTCGAATATCTGTCAGAACAAAAAAATTCTTTGGAATGAAATAAATGAAACCACTTTTGAGACTCCCACATTTGAGATGTGTATTGGTTCTGAAAGTATAAGACCAAAAGTTACATTTTCATTCCCATTTATAGAAATACAACTTGTAGAATTAGTTAAATGTATCAAATGACTAGCATGTGAATTTGTGTATAGTTAAAAAATAATCTTATCCTTAAGGATTATTGATTGGGAAAATTTGGTTGAGTAAATTTAGGGTTATTGATTGGGCTAATTTGGTTGATTAGTTGATCCAATTTGGATGGGTTTGAGGGTTAGTTTCTAGGAATGTTCCATTGGTGTTCTTTTTCTTCTCACACTACCAAAATCTCAAGTCCCTATTTGATCCTCGAGTACGACCCAATCATATTTGCTGTAATACAATCATATTCCTGAGGTTTGGATTTTCTGCCCATTATATGTTTCTGCCCAATCATATTTGCTCATGTTTTCGCTGTTAGAAAATACACACATGTTCTCTAAACTAAAATACACTTCTCACACTTATGTTTCTTATGGAAACAGGTGTCCTGCATGTTTTTTGCTGTGCATGTTTGTGCTTGAAAACTTAGATGTTAGAATAAGAACGAAACAATTTTTATGTTTTTTTTTTACAATTGCTAAAACATGTGCCAAACCTATAGGATGTATATTTTGCCACCTTGACTGCAAGGGCAAGATTTGTGTGAACTGCATGTTGCTTATGTTTCTTCTATTTATTAGGGAAATAGAACGTTCAGTTTCGTCCTATTAATTGTACAATGTCTTTTCATGTCAGCTAAGTTGAATGTATATAAAAACGAAGTTGCATATTTTACCGACCCCATTCACTCATCTATCCCTCTGTTCATTCATGATTGTGTTGGATTTATTCAGGTGAAATGTGTCTTATTCATGCAGTTCAAGGTACATTCAAGTCCCGCAGCAACACGCGGGCATATTTTCTAGTTTCTACTCAATTGAATGTTTGATAGACCAAATAATTAGACATTTAGAATTCAAATATTTATGAGAACAAAAACTTTTACCTAATATTTTACATAAACTTCTAACACTTCAACATGTAATTATCTATGAATTTGTCACTTCAGTAACAGATCTTATAATTAAGAAAATTGTGAATCTTTTACCAATTAGTAGTTACTCGTCTAGTGATATTACTTTTCTCAATATAGAAAGAGTTCTAATTTCAAAACTTCTACCCTATTAATTTAAAAACTTAAAATTTCTGATTTGAGAAAGTAATATAATTTTCCAAAAACTTAGCTCATGGGTAAGTTGAAAGTGCCTATAAAATTCTGGGGACAAACTAGCAATGTAGCCTATCTAAATAAAGGACTTTAGGGCAAAATTGAATGAACTTTAGGATTTTAATCACCAAAGTAGAAAAAAGGGTGGGGCTTTTAGGTCCAGGTCCAAAAATATAGGTTGCTTCTGGAAGTGACAAGTACTTCGGTCACAAGGGGGGAGGAAAGTGTGGAGGAATGTCGAAGAAGTTAAAAAATTCAAGAGATTGATTTCACTCTGCCAAGTTTTGTTCTCAAGAGAATTTTTGCTTTGTGGTAATTATGATACGTTGATTCAACGAGAGGACCAGCAATGAAATTGTAATTTATTTAATATATCATGGTCAACATCTTCTTGACTGAGGGAAGATGTTGAACATTTTTACCATACCACCCTCTTTTTGGAAGTTTGGGGAATACGACGTATTATTGAAAACAATATAGTGAGATTCTAAGTTCTTGTTTTTATAACGGATAAAATGATTCGAACTTGTAACCTTTTTAAATATTATGAAAGAAAGTTACTGAAACAACAATTTCTGGGTTCCTATATCGCTTGGGAGCTACAACTGCAACAACTCTGTTGTTGACGTCTTATTTTTTCACATCTCATCGACTACACTAGTTGATTGATTAAGAAGAAGAAATCCAGCTAAATATGGTCAAAAATATAATTTAGCCATAAGAAAAATGTAGTTTCCATCATACAATAAATGAGAGCACGCTTTGGTCAATGTGCAACTCACTGTCGGCAAACAAGCCTAAAATTGCGGCACTATTTGTATCCGCAGGAGGAAATTGTGAGACTGAATAAAA